GTTGTTGAAGCCAGTGCCCTTGCTTCTTTCAAGAAACGTCTGGATGATCTGTGGATTAATTTGCTACTAACTGGCTAAGTGGGACAAATGGCCTCCTCTTATCTGTAATTTTTGTTATGTTGTTTTCTTCTAATGGCTATTTTTGAATGTTAGAATTCTATTAATGTTGGTCATTTTGCACCTGACTGTGTGAAAGTTCAGTTTCAGAAGGCTGTCGAACAATTTGAACCTTGAGGCTGACCTGTCCTTTATCTGCGTTCTTATGCCACAGGCTTCAACGTGGACACGCTGCCCATCTACGCCAAGCGGTCGCAGAGGATGGTCATCACTGCACGTGAGTGCCTGGGGGCGAGAGGGCGGGCCAGGGGAGACCAGGAGCGCCCAGTCAAGATAGTAATCGCCTGGTGTGAGGCGAACTAAACCACATTGCGGAGAGCTTGGGCATTTCCTTTGCTGGGTGCTTAATTCAGTTACACCAAAAACATTTTGTTGGTTCTGATGTTATTGTACAAGCACACTGAAAGTTGTAGAGTTCATACTTATCATCTTTGCAAAAAAAATAGGTTTTCCAGCCCCTCAGCAATGCAGGGTCTTAATCTTTCGTTTGCTGTTGTGTTCCTACTCCAGTCTCGTGTTATTTTGGCTTTTGCTGTGCATTAATGCGTGGCCTTCTTCTTTCGTCTTGGCAGCTCCTGTGACGAATCCTCCGGTCATCCCCAAGGCGCTGACAGCCGGGCAGAAACGTTTGCATCCGTCCCACATCCCTGGCTACTTCCCTGACTTCCCCGACCCCCATACTTACATCAAGACACCGGTGAGTTCCTGGGCCAGAGCACACCGGCACAAGGCAATGCAGACCAGATGCGTTTGCTGAGAGAGAGGTCCCAGGTTGTCATCCTGAAAAGTTCCCACTTCATTTCACACTCACAAGTGCAGGAATCCCAGTAACACTAACCTACCTCCGGGGGTTTCAGAAGCTGATGAGCAGAGTTCTGTAAAACCTGGGGTGGTGGCGAGTGTGGGGGATCCGGACTCTCGTTCCCGTCCTCTCCTGTGTGTGTAACAGCGCTGTTGCTCTTTCTGTCTTGCATGTGTGCAGACTTTCCGGGAGCCGGTGTCGGATTACCAGGTGGTACGGGAGAAGGCAGCATCACAGCGTCGGGATGTGGAACGTGCTCTCACGCGCTTCATGGCCAAGACCGGAGAGACGCAGAGCCTCTTCAAGGATGACATTTCCACCTTCCCCTGTAAGTGCCTACTGTAGTTCCAAGGATATCATCAGTGGCAGCCTCACAGCTCCTGGTTTTAAGCTGCTGGGTCTGTTCAAGTTATAGGATCTGTGCACTTTTCTAAGTGAGCATCTATGTGAACATGCATGTTTATATGTAGAATAAATACCCTAAGGCCTTGATTGATATTGTTCTTATTCAATTTGAGATGCTATACTTAGACACATTCAGCACCTGCTGTTGATGTGAATATGTACTGTAAACGTCTATATAGAGTGTATCACGCTGATAGACAAGTAGGGGTCTTTCTTCAGTTACTGTGGTCAGGGCAAGTAGTCCACCTCCGTGTGTGTTAATCTGTGCTGTGGAGTGGTAATGCCACCTCTCTACCTCGGTGTAGTGATCGCTGCCCGGCCCAGCTCCATCCCCTACCTGAATGCCCTGCTCCCCTCCGAACTGGAGCTGCAGCAGCTGGAAGAGACAGACTCCTCCGAACAGGATGAGCAGACGGACAACGAGAACGCCTCCGTCAATATCAGCAATGTGAGTGTCTGTGCCAGTTTGCGTTTCATACATGTCCTACGTGTCCACTATCTGCACTTCAAGGCTACGCAGTGTTAAGTGACAGGACCCGCAAAAAAATAACAGTATCCAGAAGTCTTTGCAGAAATGTAATTCTCTAAAAACATCCAAGTCATTCTTTATGTATATTAGAACTGTTGCATTAACAGAACGCTAAAAGATTCCTTTGTTTTAAACTCCCGTTTAAACTTTTCTGCGACAGGACGAGTCAGGGGCAGACAAGGAAAACTCAGTGTTGCCACAGGGAGGCGCTCTGCCCACGGTGAAGGCTAGTGAGGAGAATGTGATCGACAACCCTTACCTGCGACCCGTGAAGAAGCCAAAAGTGCGGAGAAAGAAGTAAGGCCAGGCACGAAACTGAGAGCCAGAGACCTCGACGGCACTCCTGCCGCAGGGCCCGCTGAGCCAAGGACAGGGAGCAGTGGGGTGAGAGGCAGCACTTCGCCCATCCCCAGTCCTGGTGTTAGGAAACAACCTCCATCATGTTGCGTTACTGAAGAAGGGTTAAACATGCCCCCAGAAATGATTGATAAAACCCCTTTTTATCTAAATAAAGCACATCACTCATTTGTAGCCCCTTTAAAAAGAAACGGAGTTCAGGTTTCAGTAATTTTGTTTTTGCACATGAAATGCTACTGAGGAAACCCCTGGGGAGCAGCCCGGCATTCTTTCTCAGAGCTTTAACTTAGTGGTGTGTCCTCACAGCACACGGGTGTCCCTTGGCGCCGAAGCTTACAAGGCACAGCTTTCTCCATCAGCAACAGTTCTTGCAGTGCTGCTGCAGTTGTATTTTTATTCAACTGCTGTGTGATGGCATTTGGGTTTGAATTCTCCTTGGCGGTGTCTTGGCGTGTTTTTGCTGAGAACCCTGGTCGCGAATAGTGGTGGGAGTTGGGAGAGAGGACTGTGCTGTGCCGCCACGTTTGTGTGAATTTAGAAAACAAGGGCGGCGGTGCCCCGCTCGGATCAGGGCGAGGTGTGCAGTTTCACTTCTTTGTAACTACAGGAGGAAACAGGCAGCCACTTTCATCACTTACATGGAACAGTTTGGCCCAGTTGTGAAGCTCTTAAGCTTCTTGTTTCTGCCAAAATCTTATCTTGTGTTAAGTTTTGTCTTTTCAGAGCTGTGTAAATATATATTTCTTGTTTATTTTTTCTGATTTGAAAATGTCTTTTTTGTAATTTGATTAAAAAGCTAAATATTTGTACAAAAGTTTTATTACTTACATTTACTCACAGTTCTAAGCATTAGCCACAATTTGCGGTGTGTATGCACTGGGAACACTGTGTGTTAAAAGGGATCAAAGGGTAAGAAAAGGACTGGAGAGCTCTTCATTACAGGAGTCTCACTGCACAATGATGACAAATGCAAATTAATCTAAACTTTATTTTGTCCCTTTAAGCAAAAAAACAACTGTGAAATAAGACATGTTAAGAAGGGAATAGAAGGGAAGCAGATGCCTGGAGACATAGGTGGAGGCTGGACATCATGTGAGCTGATCAGCATGCAGAGTGTGGTGGGACTGATCAGGAGGCGTCAGTCCATTGGCAATATATTACACAGGAGACTGGAGGGGAATGCGAAAGGAAAGGCAATACCGGATCTGTCTTCCCTGTGCACATGTATATAATGTTCCACATTCTGTGATCTGAGCGAGTGACAGACGGTGCTGACCACAGCCCAGGCACACAGGCTCAGCTATAGAACAGGCTGAAGTAAGCAATCCTATTCCTGCGTTTTTGGAATTCTTTGTCACAGAGAAGCTAGAAGAAAAAGACAAAGTATGTACTGTAAGTAGTATGCAGAGCACCTCTTTTACTTCATAATGACAAAGGGTAAAGAACAATGATTAAATATAATAATCTTTATCAGTGATGGCCCAGAATGCATTTGATGTTCTGTTTCCTGGAATATACTTTAAATGTAAATGGTAAACATTACTTGACAAACATCCATTCATCCATTTGCTTAATGGACTCTTAATTGTAACTATACCAAATTACATAGCCCTGGTCTCTTACGTCTGGCACTGTGATAGACACTCACCTCTGTCCTCAGGGACCTTTTCTCCAGGGATGGCACTTGATTCCAGTCTGGGGAGCCAAACTTCATTGGCCAGGACACCTTCCTGTTCTGAGCAGTATCATGAGCATAAGCTCCTGGTCTGGACCAATCAGAAATAAAGAAAGTGCCCTTTAGTACTATATTTATCTTCAAACTATCACAGCCTCCGATTCTGCCCTGCAATGTTCCCTCTAACTGAATGCTTTCTTACATAGGTGTAGCACTTACTCTTCATCCCAAATGATCCTGAAGCACTCTACCAACGGGATACAACCCACTTTATCCAGCCCCAAAATGTAGTCCCCGCCAGTGAAAAACTGCTGCACTGATGAAATAAGGGGAAACTTTTAGATTGAGCAACTCACAAATGGAATTTAATTAGGTGTACAGCACGGGGGGTACGAATGGTTACAAACAGTGCCATGGGATCTTTAAAGACCAAGTATTTAGGATCTCATTTTAATGTCTCATCGAAAGGACAGCAGCTTGTCCCCGTCACCATACTGGGACATTAGATTGAAAATTGTCCAGAGGGAACACAGCTCTCTTGCTAGTCCACCAATATCACTTACAGCTGCAACTATAAAAAAAAGAGCAGAGCGGTTGCACTGCGGCTAAGGATCTGCGCCTGTGGCTAAAAGGTTGCTGGTTCATATCCTGCAGCCGGCATAGGAATCCTACTCCATTGGGCTTCTGAGCAAGGCCCTTAACCCCAACTACTCTAGAGGCGCTGTACAATGGCTGACCCTGCGCTCTGACCCCAAGCTTCTCTCTGTCTGTGTGTCTCATGAAGAGCAAGCTGGGTTATGTGAAAAGACAAATTCCTAATGCAAGAAATTTTATATAGCTAATAAAGTGATCTTATCTTAACCTGTTTCCTTTAGAGGTCTTGTATTCCACTACTAACAAGGGCCGGCCTTGCTCAGCCCCTAAAATCCAGCAACATCAGGCTACAAGAATGTAATGGTGCTGTTAAGTGATTTTAATCAGCAAAAGGGGAGTTCTTAAAGTAGGTTTCAGAAAAACTTGTCAAAGTACCACGTCACTGTGTTGTATTAAGAAAAGGAAATAAAATGTAGAAATGTAGCATAGTGATTTATCAGTAGACTCCTGTTTCACAACAGGTGCAACCGTGAGTCTTATCTAGTATAAGCAAACAAAAGGCACTGTATTGCAGTTACCTTATTTTGAGTACATGTGTTCTAAGATACCGTATACGTGTATTAAAATAACATTGCGTATTCTACGTCTTCCTTTCAGCAGGCTGTTTTCCAGTGAGAGACTCCTGGTGTGTGTGTGGGCCAGAGCAGCGAGAGCTCTGCAAAGGCTGTGCTGCCCTCTTACCCAGGATGGGAGTCGCACAGGGCATGCCAACTCTGGAATCTTTGCGCGCTAGAGCAGAAGGGCGCAGCACTGGGCAGGAGGGGGCGTGGGCGGGTCCAGTCTTTCTGGTAATGCTGTGGTGAGGGAGTCACAGCCTGGCCACAGAGAAACAATACCAACATGTATTTAACTCGGCACAATGACACCGGGGTTGAAGAGGCTTTGCTACAGCCTGATGAACTCGGCACCAGGGTGGCCCAGCTGTTGGTTCATTTTCACTTGTAGAAGGGAACCACAGCTCAGTTTGAGGAAGGAAATGTGAAGGGTGTATCAGTATGTTGCAGGGTATCATAAATGAGAAGTTAACCGCTTTATCTAATACAAGGTCAAAGGGGAGCTGGAGCTTATTTCAGCACACATAATCATACCAGGGCCAATTTACCCAGAAGCTGATTAACCAACCAGTATGTCTTTGGACTGTGAGAGGAAACCCATGTGAATATGAGGGGATATACAAACTCAACACAGACAGCACCCCAGGACTGGAATTGAACTCAGGGCTCCAGCACTGCAAGGCGGCAGTGCTAACCACTGAGCCCTCCACCCACATATCCATTTATTTTAATCTATTCCAGATCTATAATTATTCATGTGTTTGTTTTTAATATTGATGTACTGGATCTAGAAGATAATTCATGACCGTAAAGGCAAGAGCACCCCCCCTGCTCAGCCTGAGGCTGTGGTACCTGTGCAGTGGGCAGGAGGCGGGGGGCAGTCCGTGCAGCCAGGGTGTACCCCTTCCTGCTCTCCGGTTTCCTTTCCAGCTCATAGACGATGGTGCCCACCTTCAGACAAGAGAAAGAGGCAGGGTGACAGTGAGGCAGGAGCAGGGAAAACACTGCCTTTATTACATTTCCTGTCGGCATGAACAGGCTGTTAGAAATGTGTGCAAAAAGACGGGTGACGTGTCTGTGAAAGCTGGCCAGCTATGCCGAGGTGCCACCATCACCACGTCTTGCTGCCCCTGGTGCAGAGGGGTGCCCGGGGGGAGTCACGGGGAGGGTGCCGTTCTGTCGTGTGTTTGTCCGGGGGGAGCCCTTGCCCGGCCCGCCCAGCGACTCACGGTGTGGTTGTCGTAGCAGCCGGGGCCGAGGTGCGAGCCCCCCCGCCGGGGCGCCAGCTCGTTGCCCAGCCGATCGGGAGCGCAGTGGGACGGGAACAGCTTGCGCTCCTGGGAACTTCCGAAACACACATTCCTCAGGGGCGCTGAGATGGAGAAGCCCATTAACACTGTTGCCATCAATTCAGGTATAAAGGTATGACTGCAGACTTTCTGCGCATGTGTACATGTATGATGATGATGATGATGATGATGATGAATGATGTCACGGTAGCCATAGTGTGCCAGTCCGCTCACCACACACCAGCTATCAGTGGGGAGGAGAACAGAGGGATGAAGCCAGTTCATAGATGGGGATTATTAGGAGGCCTTGATTGCTAAAAGCCAGGTGGAAATTTGGTCAGGACACCAGGGTAACACCCCTACTCTTTTTGCTTTACTGGGGCATTAGGACCCACACAGACTGCAGGGTGAGTGCTCCTTTCTGATCCCACTAGCACCTCTTCCAGCAGTAACCTGGAGGTCTCCCATCCTGCTTACTGCTTAGCTTCAGCTGCTTCATCTGCCTGTTTATACCGTGTTTCTAAAGTGCCCGAGGAATACTATATTTGTATTATTCTTCACAAAATTCTGTGATACAAATGCAGGAAAGTGAAGGGAAATATCGGTGTCTCAGTACTTACCCATCTCCGGAGCAGCCATGTGGCCCAACTCGGTAAGCGAGAGGGAATGTTTACCTCAGGTTGCCGTAGAGACGACGTACTGTGACGGTCGACCTTCACGAGTCCTTCCACTAGCGTTCGTTATGACGTCACTGCGCCAATGCTACTGCATGAATTCGACCGCGTCTTGAGGTCCAGCAGTGAATAGCTAATATAAAACGCAGATTTGTTCTAAGAATGACTTCTAAAAATTTTTGTTTCTTACAGTTTTACATCTTTTGTGTGGAAGTATGCGGATATATCTGCATTTGTACCTGATTAAAAAGCGTTCGTTGTCATTTTTGATTGAAAGACTTTCCGAAATTCAGTCCATTTTGACGGTTCTGTAAGGGCTAAGGAAAGAATAAAACAGTAGCACTTAAACACCAGGGGGCGCCATCCCCTCGTGTACGATAGATGTTCACGTCGCGGGAGTCAGCAGGCCAGCGCGTCCCAGACCTCAGCATTGTTTAACTGTTGCTACTCAGAACAGAGAAAGCTCAGCACAGTTGACCGTTGCTCGGTTTAAAGCAGTTGCCTTGGTTTTCATAACCCTGATCAAATGAAAGGGCCTTACCCCATCAAACACACAAGCTCAACACCACCTTGCCTCCTGGGCTTTGTAGGCTTCTTGCTTTGTGTTTGCATGCACTTTGTTTTACAAGGAGGTGAATTGTAATTCTGTGATTTGAATTACTCGGCATGCTCCACCCAGACTCTCATTAATGTGAGACACAGAGCACAGCATAGCTCAGGCCTGGTGCACATTAAGGATGTGTGGTCTAGGGTTGGAGTAGAGGGGAGCTTTCAGGCTAAAATGTGGTGTTTCACAATGTGGGCGTTTCGACAAGGATGGATGTCCTATGGCTCTGATTCCTCATTCCTGTTGATCTCCGATTTCTCAAGGGAAACACACCTGGCACATATCTGCACATTTCAAAGGGAACGGCACAGGGGCAGAATAATGGTCTTTCAATTTCAAGGTGTATTGAATTTCTGCGGAGGCCTAAAAACACAATCCAAAGTGGGAATTATGTAACAAGGTTCCCCATTGTCACCTCTCCCCTCTGCGCTGTGCTGCCCTACTCCCACCACCTCGTTTCCTGTAATTTCCTCTTTCTGTCAAAGCACTAGGTGTTACTCCACTGCCCTCCAGCCTCAAGCAGAAGAGGCCCAGGAACTGCCTCATTGTCTGGCCGAGTTCCTGCAATGTGACCCCTCTCCACACACTAGCACGGGTGGGACAGTTCATCCTGAGGCCCCGGGGGCATGATGTCATCGGATAGGCCCAGACGCCCCCTCAGAGTCGTCATGCAGAGGACCGTGCGCACACAGGCAGAAAAAGACCTGGTCACGCCGAGAAGGCTGCATAGTGTCACACAAACCAGCAGTGGCATCTGCGTGATTGCTGTGGATTGCTGTCCTTCTCTTGCTTAACGAGATTTGTTCCTTTATCAGGATGAGTTGATCTGTACACAGTAGGTATGCCACACTGTTCACCAGAACCTCCAGATAGAAGAAATCAGGCACTACGGGTTTCAGAATGGCCTTCTGTACACTCCAATCTGCACCTAATTCACCATTCATCACAACCCAGCTCTTAGTTAATTAAAACAATTACTGTCACAGCTGGTCAGCTGGTCATAACTGTGCAGCTGGAATGAGCCTCCACAGGACCAGGGCTGCAGATCAGCGTCCTGATCAATACACAACCCCAGCAGTTCACACCCTCCCACTGCTGCACCAGGGCCTGAGGGAGGGAAAGGACATTTTCACTGGCCTTGGTACGTGTTGCTCTATCAGGCTGCTTTGCCAGGATGTGTCTTAACCTGAGATCTACTTATGTGATAGTAGATTGCACCAATAAGTTGTTTAGAAAGCCTTTTCCCTCCTCCTAGCTGATCTTTTACCGCCTTGTTTCTCATCAGGAGTGTTTCCTTCGCGGCAGGACGTTGGCGAGTAGAGCACACTAGCGCTGCCAACAGGCTAGAGCGGCTGGCTTAGCCAAGGAAGCTAAAAACATAGCCCCAGTCGCATTCCTCAGGCCTGCAGGGCGCCGATCGTCACCGCTAAGGCTTCTCGCTGGCTGCTGGCGGAGGGGGCGCTCAGCTCTGCTGCCCCGGCTGAAATCCCGCCGAGCTGACAAAGGAGGGTGGGGGGGTCAGGGGTCGAGCGGCTCAGGGCGAGCCCTGGTGCAGTCTGCGGGCCCAGGTGTCTGAGCTGTCTGAGAGCGCTGGCGTGTGTGAGTAAGAGCTGAAGAGCTGTGCGTCTGAATACCTCGCCAGCTAGGTCAGCGCGCCTGCCAGCCCAGGCAGCTCCTCACCTGCGCGGGTTTACCACAGAAATGCTTTGCTCGTTCCCTACGGTTTATATCTGCCTTTCCCGGACGACGCACTCCAGAGCGAGGGCGGCCAAAAAGAGCAGGAAAAAGGTTTTAACCGACTGGATTTTTACGTGCAGCATGAAAATCACGTTCTGTTGGATGTTCGCGATGTGGTGTCTCTTCCTCGCACTCAGCTCTGCCGTGTCGCGGCAACCTCGAGCCTGTGTCGCAGCGCCGAGGGAGCGCGAGCCCCGAGAGACTGCCTCGGGGGCTCGGTTCCGTTCCGCTCCCGGCTGCTCGCGAGCGAGCAAAGGCGATTTGGAGAATTTTCACGTCAGTGACTTCCTGCTCTTCCTTGAACCGCACTGCCCAACTCGCCTTCATACTCAACTGAGCTAAAGGTGTTTATTTTTAATGAGACAAGTTTGTTAATGTTTTTCATACTGCTATGAAACCCAGCTTGACACTTCTTAAATCCAACAAGCCTGCGAGGATAGTTTTTAGGTCACTAGCAATGGCACTGCGCTGTCCTACAGACTCGTGCAGAAGCGCAAGAGCAAATGATAATAATCATTTAATCATTTAATTTGATTTAATAATCAAATAATAATTGCTTTCACTTATATAGTGCTTTTCTGGACACTCCACTCAGAGCGCTTTACAAGTAACAGGTAACTACAGGGACTCCCCTCCACCACCACCAAATGACCAAATGACTGCTAAATAGCCAACCTGCAGTTCCTTCAGCAAATCACCCGTAATGGCTACACGGACAGTTTTCACTGTATTCGGCATACTGCACTACGTGGACATAATGTATTGCACCCTGGACACATCGCAGCTCTATTTATATTGAGCTCTGTCTGAGTTTATTTTATTCAATTTCTATTGTACTATTTTGTATTATTATGTAACCTTATTTTGTAACTTTGATTTTGTGATTTTTACCGCCCCCGGTGAGCTCGCAGAAAATACATTTCATTGCCAGCCACAACTGCTGCACGCAAATGTTGAGCATTTAATAAACTTTGTAATTTACAGCGATTTTTTTCAGATCCGAGCTCGTTTTTTTTAAAACGATGGTTAGACCATTAATATCCGGTATCACTGATTTTCGATTAAACATAAAATGTAGTTTTGAGTATGATAATTAAACATCAGCAATAACCAACACCGAGGACGGATTTATTAATGATCAAGTCCAAATCCGCAAGACCGCCAATAGAAAAACCGAGGTTTCAGCGCATTCCAAGAACACGGCCCAACAAGTAAGACACGTGGTGTGAGCTGGCCAATCACAGCGTTCCGCAGCAACGGCTACTGAATTATTCATGAGGGGGCGGGGACTTACCTGCCAGGTTGCTATAGTTCGCTGAACCACAAGTGAGTAACTTAGTAGAGTACAGTGAAGCCTTGCGAAATGTTGTTCTTGTGAAGAATAGATTTTAGCGCTTAAAGTTCAGTCATTCATTTCAGTTATTCTTTTAATTTAATATTTATTAACGGCTCGCATTCCCGCGATGGATCAGCGCACTTTAAGAAGCAGCGGTCGGTCTCTCTCGGCTCTGCCGGCCGAGGGCTCGCTGTCAGCCGGCCAGGCTGCCGTGCAGGGCTGCTCGCTCAGACGCCACGCCGTGAAGAGGCATCACCACAAACACAACCTCAAGCACAGATACGAGTTTTTAGAGACTCTGGGGAAAGGCACGTACGGTACAGTGAAGAAAGCAGTGGAGCGATCAGGACGAGTGGTAAGCGCGCCCTTCTACTTATTATTTTAGCCCGTCTGTGACGGACTACGGAGCAGTATAACGCGCGGTTTCTGTGACTACCTGGTTTGAAAGGGTGTTTATCCCGGTACTCCACAGTCCAGCTGGGACACTTTCCTGCAATTTCTGTGTCTCGGGCTGTGGAGGTTCGCGATTCCGAGGGTGTCGCTCAGACGGTGTGTTTGTCTTTCAGCTGGACGGTTTACAGGACTAGTGAGACCAGGATGTTTAGTCATCTAAGCAATTGTTTTTTACCAACAAGCTTCCACGTGTATGAGACATTTGTGGCGTACTCTAAACGTTGTGTGTCGCTCACACACTGTAGAAATGAACGCGTATGAATTTTGGAGATCGGGATGCGAAACATTTAGATTATTAACAGAATACTCTTGTAGCTTCAATACATAAAGAGCACACAATTTGAACATTTATACGCATATAATATACACTGTATATTCGGGGTGAACTCTGCTTCTCATCGGCTCCGCTCACGTTTTGTGCACTAATATTTTCATTATCCTTCCGTAGTAGTCGCGCTCATTGTTTTTATTTGTAAGTGAAACAAAACATTCGTGACTGCGGAAAAACCCGGACTCTTCCCGGCAGGTGTTGATAGGTGAGTGAGTGCGGGAAGCGAAAGTAACAACAACAATAGAAACGACAATAAAAACCTGTCTGAGTCACCGGTCAGACGACCAAAACACACACGAGAAGTATGTTTGCGCTTTAGTTTCAGGGCCTGTTTCAGAGTCATTCCCTCTTGAGAGCTGGTCTTCGCCCACTCGAAAGTGCTGCACGGGGCTACCACCTGCCAGCAACACGAGTTTTTATTTTTTCTGGGGGCTTCACACGAACTGCTGTAGTTAGTAGCAAACGTGAGGAAAGCCGAAGGGGACGTTGAAAAAAAAGATACGCCGCACTGCCAGATCTTCCTTACCACGGACTGGAATGACGTTGTATATTTAAAAGTCAAATCGGTTGAGATCGTGTTCAGCATCCCGTTTGCCTCTGTAAAAGGACTGACCCGCTCAGTGCCGCGGTGTTGCATAAAGGGGTCGCTCCGTGCAGAACCCCTCCGGTCCCCCACCGCCAATCCCCCCTAGTCAGGGAAGAGAAAGCTCTGTCCCTCCTGGTCAGCGCCGGGCTCTTAGATTTATATCACCTCCAGCACCCAGAGCGGGCTGCTGGAACAAAATCAATCCACAGAGCTCGGAAAGAGTTCGAAATGACTTTTGAAGCTCTCGGGCGGTGTTGCGTGCCAGGAAAGCGGGTGAAGCTGTGAGCCGAGAGCTAGCCGTGGTCTCTTCTACCCTGAATCGTGGGGATGGAGAAGGCACCACTTGCATAACAATCGTGCCCGTTTGATGAATTAGTTCCACTTCATCAAGTAATTTCTGGCTAATTAAGCTCAGACTCCCAGGACATAGCTCTTTGTGAAAAGCATTGAAAATGTTAGGCAACCCCCCCCACCTATCCAAGACAAAATCCTGGCAGCAACAGGGACAGCTCAGTGCACGAAGTAGAGAACCCCAGCAGGGCACTTGTTGATAAATATACAGTTCTCAAAGGAGGCGGGGTGGTGGAGTTTTAAAAGGGACAGCTCTCTGCGGGGGGTTCTGTTGCCAGTTCAGCCAAGCAAGAGAGTCGCCAGGGAGATCTGCTCTGAACCTCCTGGCGGATTCCCGGACATGCAGGATAAAAGCAACATGGCTGCCTAGTGTGTTACAGAGTTCATCCTGTCAGACGGCTGTGAACGCCCCATGCGAGTCCATGGTAAAGTCACAACACACGAACTCTTGCTCTGCGATTGTCAGTGCGGCCACTGTGGACGTTCAAGACTCTGGTCAGGCGGTTTGCATTGTGGATGCAGGTCTGTGGGCTGTAGCAGTTGCAGCCTGGGGTTGTGCTGCAGCCGAACAGGAGGCTCTTGTGTCGAGAGGAGCCCGTTTCCTCAGCTGTGCAGCTCCGTGTCCAGGTCAGGTGAATGGCCTTTCCCTCTCTGCTTGTATCCGAAGGGAGATGCAGCTCGTCAATCATCAGCCAGTGGTTCCCTGAGCCGTGCTTGTCCTGACCGCTGACGCCATCCCGGGCCAGCGATGAGGCAAGTCAGCTCCTCGAAAGGCTCTGTTGCACATAATTCGATCACAAAACAAAATTCTTAGGAATTGCTGGGTCACCTCCAAAGGACTGGTGTTGAAAAGAATTTGAAAAATCAGCTTTGGTGTCCCATAGCTCCATGAAGGTGCCACTTTCAAAGTGCTTGATAATGTTGGCGAAAGGCATCGGTAATGACTGGCTTGAGGCAGGTGGAGGAAGGCCATAGACTAGCAGGTACACTGTGTAACTAGTGCAGCTGTATATTATCGTACAGTTGAACCAGTAACTGTCTGGAATGCCAGCCTGATCACATGGGCGAGGTGTGTCTTCGTCTTGCCTGGCAGACACGGGAGTCTGTTCCTCTGGTGTCTGATCAGCCCTGGAAAACCTTTCATAATGGCAGGAGCCCTGCTGGGCCTGCTGTTGCCCAGCAGTGTGGCGGAGGTCCCCAGCCGCCTCTCGGAAACGCTCACAGTGCTTAGAGCTCTGGGATCTTTGCTTCAGGGGCACACGTAACCACAGCCCCCACTGTGGCCTGGTCTTGTGCTCCGTGTGCTTCTGCGGCTGTGGGCGTTTCTCCTCCTGCTGCTCCCTGTGCTCCGCGTTGGGCTGCCAGCGTTTCCCAACCGGTCGGGCTCTTTGTTTGCGGGAGTGTTACCAGGTGCCATGGGAGAGGGCTCGCTTCCTGAAGCGGAGCCAGTTTGAATTCCTTTCCTGGCCGCGCTCCCTTGTACCTGCCAGTTCCTGCTTCTCCCTGTGGGAGCTGGGCCTGAGCTACACTTGACCCCTTTGAACCTCTCGGGGAGTTTAAACAAAGCCAGCCGTGCTCTGTGCATGTCGCTGCCTCTCGGGAGACACTCCTGGGACACTGGGGCAGCAGAGCTGAGCTGTCACGCGGGTGAAGGTTTAAACAGGACAATAGATGGGCAGAGAGACCAGCACAGAAACCCACAATGTTTCCAGAGTGAATAAGCTTCCCTTCTTAGCCCTGGTGTGTTCAGGGCTGAACCTGTTCTGGTATTATTGTCTCTTGAGCACACCAGTGCTAAAAATAAACTACAGATCTGATGCATGATAGAAGAATGAAATGTTTTTACAATGTCTTGATCTGTGTAATAAAAGAAAACACGACGACAATAACAGCACTATGTTGACCTGTGTGATTTCAAAGTGAGAGGAAAGGGTTCAGTTTTCACTTGTGGTCTTATTTGTCCCCGCATAACAAGATGTGAGCTGTTGAGAAAAGTAACTTTTAATGTCGGTGTTTAAATGCAACAGAGTTTTAGCCTGTGGCCTTCAGTGTGAGGCATTGGGAGGAGGCTCTCTGTTTTGGGCTCTGGTAACGGTGTGTCGAGATGCCCGGTGTGCTGCGTGACAGAATTACCGGCCAGGGTATCTCGTCACGGCGAGACTGTCGGAAGTTTTCTGAAAAGCTGATGTAACGAAGGGTCCCGAAATCCCGAGGGTTTGCGGTGAAGGAGTCCGTGTGCGCAGGCAGGCTTCATGGAATCTCCTGTGCTGCTGACGCTTGTTTTCGAATCGGCAGTGGAAACAGCCCCGAGCTGTTTTCACAGCACCAGCACAGCGATCAGTGATATGCTAATGAGGCAGCTGGCACTGCGTGTTGAAGGTGACCCAGAGAGGCGCAGGCTGACAGAATTCCACAGGCTGCCTGTCTCCACTCCCTCCCTCCCTGCCCCGGAGGTCCTGGATCAAAGAGCACGGAGATGGAGATGGCGCGGCTGCACGCGGGCGAGGGGTCAGCCTGACGGGCACCTCTGCCCCTCTCTTTCCCGGAGGGGAGCTCGTGACTCAACAGCTGGCTCCCGAGCGTGGCTGGCAGGGATCAGAGCAGGGCTTTTGGTCTGTACTGGTCTGTCTCCCGATGGGGGGGCTTCACAGGCTTTATGTGAGTAAGAGTGAGACTGGCGCCGAGCGCCGAGGTGCTGCAGCTGTAAGAGCACATGGGCAGGGAGCGCTGTGTATTTGCACGCGTGTCCCTGAGCACAGAGGTGAACACTCGGCACTATGTCTTTTCGGAAAGCAGTGATGGCGAGCGCTTCTAGCCCATGTTCTCTGTGCTGTGTGGGCGTCTCCCTGGTCTCTCCCCCCCAGCTCTCTTGAAAATGAAACGGAGGTTTATGTGCAGGGACTGATCAATCATCTCGGCTGTGTGCCAACGTCGCTGCAGTAACTCTAAGCCAGCGAGCCACAACCCAGCTCTCCCTGAATGTTTAATACTAAACAGTACTTCTTATCTCTTAATCATGAGTTTGGAGTTTGGACACTAACCAAGGGTGGCAAATTCGAATCATAACAGGATTCACTATAGGCAGACAAGGAAGATTTTTTCATTTCAAATGGCAATAATAAACATGCAATAAAAAACAGAAATCTGAAGTATAAATAATATGAATTAAAGTCTGCCTGCAGTATTTTGGAACTGTTTCCTATGCATTGTGATCATTCTATAGTGGAAATGTTAATCAAATAAAACAACCTTTTAAGCAAAGTCTGTCCCAGGCATTGGAGGCTATATTTCTAAAACATCTTTCTACATTGTTGAGATCAGTTGCTTTGGAAAATGGAAAAAAATATTGTTAACATAACAGATGTTTACACTGCCTTCAGGGTCCTTCAATTTTCATTGTCAATTTCCATTTAAAGAAACAGCTCTAAAGATAGTGTGGTGGTAAATGTTTTATGAACATGCTGAATACAGCTCCAGCCTCTCCAGTTACATCAGCACGGTCTGACATTAGGGGTGTGCTTATTTTTGGAGAACAATAACAGAGGTCTGTAGAATGAACCCGAGCCGCACATCTCCTATGGGAGCTCTCTGCTGGTGAGGTAGAATATCCACAAGGGCTGTTCCTGCAGTTCCTGAAAATAGCAGCAAAAAGTGTGAAGCTGCATATTAGATAATCATTGTTGCCAAACAGGTTTTCCTCCTGCCAGGAGTGGCTGTGGGTAAATGGGCTGCAGACTTATTTTGAAAGTTGGATTGGTTTTGCTCTTGTCCTGGAGCACTTCTGTGAAACTGGGCTCCACGGCTCAGGAAACCTCTGCAAATGCCCACCAGCTTCTCTCACCTGGATGAAATAAACAGCCTGAATGATGGACGGATTCCTCTTGATAAAATATTCCTCCTGCCCCAGCTCTCGACCCTCTGCCCCCTTCCCTGCTCACTGTCCGTGTTGGACAGCCCATGCCAGTGTCCCCAGTGACGGTGATAGTCTGTCCCAGTGGGATTCCCGGGAGGTCCTGGTGCAGAGAACTGGTGGGGCCTGACCTGGCTGGGACTCACCTGCAGTATTCTGGGTGAATCATCAGTTATTCCTCACTGAAGAACTTTGAGGTAAACAGGAAAGTTCTTTAATGCCACATGCTTGACTTATTTGGGGGGGGGGGGGGGAAACTCTGGCTAATTTTTCAAATACAGGCTCCTCATATTGCAGAAATGCTTTTAAAAAAGTACTACAGGTAAAGTACTTTGAAATTGAAATAAAGGTGATGCATATGATTCTGTTCCTGGGAGCTCATTTAAGATTTTTTTTTACCAGGTTGCCATCAAGTCCATTCGGAAGGATAAGATAAAGGACGAGCAAGACCTCATACACATCCGCCGAGAGATCGAGATCATGTCTTCCCTCAATCACCCCCACATCATCACTATCTATGAAGGTATTCCCCAACTCTCCAAACACTAACTGAACACCCTGCAGCCCTGCACTGTAGCACTGAGCAGCTCCAATTGCAGCAAAACTGATTGTTCAATAAGGTCATTACAATTTTGTATATTCTGCAATGTGTTTGTGCAGAGAACAGACTGGAGACGTAATCAGTTTACTCTGGGAACATACAGGATCCTGTTAGGAGTTCTGGCTTCAAATACAACAAGCTGGGTCCTGTTGTTTACCTTCATCTGTGACTCAGCACCAGACATGCCAGTTTGTCAAGGAGCAGAAAACCTCAAAAAACAAAAAGACTGACAGCTGAATGAAGCTGTAATTGCTGGCAAAAAAGGGCTTGCGTGCAGGAAAACAGAGCAGGGTGGAGGAGCCAATCCCCTGACACTGCATCAGAGGTGCACGGGCTCTTGTGTGCAGCTGCATGATTGTCTTCTCATGTTTGCCTCTTCCATGTGTGTGTGTCTCTATTTCATTTCAACACTCCGTTTCACCACAGCAATCACAACTGCTCTTGCACAGATCTAGCAATCACTTCCTGGGGGGGTGTTGCACAAAAACTCTTTTTTTTACTTTCCTCAAGTAAAGCCTTGATGGAAAACTTGAAGCGACGTGTCCGTGAGTAGTATATAGTTCCAGAGCAGTGTGAGATGTTGCACAGTGTAGAAGGCAAAGTTAGTCAAACCTGAAAGGAATTGTGCACATGGACATGAACTCTTCCTCTGTGTCCAAAAGAACATGAAGTTCATATAGTAAAAGCAGAAGAACCTTTTAGTTAAAAAATGGCTCTTCAGTCCGAATCTGAACAGTTACTCACCCTTTGTCTATCAACCTACATAAGCATTTAAAAAAAATCAGAAAGCAGCAAGCATGTTAGAGATCCATGTCAAATAGTTTTACACACAAAATATTAAAACAGAATCCATTTTTAAAATTTTGACTTAAGTCATTCTACGGTGGTTTAGCTCAGTGAAGTAACAGTGAGCCTCCAAGCTGTGCTGGCACCAGCTGGCTCGCTGTGCTTGAGGCCGTTTGTCTGTTTAATTTCCAGTCCGGTACTTGTGACAGCTCTCTGTTCTGCCTCTTGCTTCTGTGTCTGTAACCGTCTTCTAACAGTGCTGCAGTTGTTTCAGCTCGTAGAAGTGACGTGAAATAACACAAAGAACCTCACACTCGATCAGCTTATGTAACCTGGCTTGCTCCAGCGAATTATGCAACGAGTGCCCCTGGGCTCCAGCCCTGTGCCAGGCTGCAGCTCAGGCAGAGGGCACACACAGCCCTGCCCACCCTCAATGACCTGTCCCTGTGCGCCCGCAGTGTTCGAGAACAAGGACAAGATCGTGATCGTGATGGAGTACGCCAGCCGTGGAGACCTGTACGACTTCATCAGCGACGGGCGCACACTGACGGAGAGGGAGGGGCGGCACTTCTTCAGGCAGATCGTTTCTGCCGTGCTCTACTGCCACCGGGTAAGACACAGAGCACAGTCCCCACAAGTTACACAAGTGACACCCCGTTATAGAACAGCGTTCTTTGAGAAACATCTCAGTGGCAAAATAACAGGGTCCTGGCTTGGTCAGTGGCTGGGACCCAGACTGCAGCACTGCAGAACTTCTGCAACAAGGTACATCATTTCAGGTCCTGGAGTGGACAGGAAGCAACTGCTGCCAGCCCAAGCAAGATATCAAAAACCAAAATGTATTTCCCTGTCTGAAGTAGGAAGATTTCTGTTACTCTGCAAGAAGTTCTAACTGATCTGAGTTGACCTCAAAGTGCACAGTCACGTTACGTGGACAGAATGGTCTCCTTTCGTTTGAAACAAGTTCTCTGGTTTGTTACAATAGCACAGAGGGTTCTGGTGAAGCTGGGTGCATGCTGGACCACAGTGCTCTTATCAACACTGCTCTCGTGTTGTCCTCTCTAGAACGGGATTGTGCACCGGGACCTGAAACTGGAGAACATCCTGCTGGATGCCAACGGCAACGTGAAGGTGAGTAATGAGGGGTGCATCTGAAAATGGGGTGCTCTCTGCACACACTGAAGCTCCTTCCATTGTCACAAGAGCTGCCTACAGTAAAAAGTGAGTGTGGAGCCTAGTTTGTCTGGAAGCTGTTAAGGGAAAGAGAAAGTAAAGGTGTGGAGCCATCGCTCACTTGCACAGCCAGTGTGTCGGGCTTTCCAGACGTTAATGGCAAAGGAGAAGCAGGATGTCCGTAGGGAGGCCAGACTGTGGCTTTGTGTAACTGTTTAACCCACCAGTTCAGATTGCAGTTGCTACAGATCCTTTATTGCCCTACATGCTGGCTGCTGATAATGGAGTTTCTGTGGAACAGCATTGAGGCAGCCTGCCAGTACCTCTCGTGCAGTTACTCACGCACACACATTCGCTCTCACTCTCCAGCTCTGCCTGCCTGTCAGCAACCCCTGAGGATACAGTTCCCACATTTTCACTAGATCAGGCTGAAAAATGGAAGATTTGGACATGGTTCTTAGAAGATCCTAATTGACCATTTAAAAGGAGTGAGCATCTCCTCACAGGAGCAGCCCCCAATTCCCCACGAGTCCTGAACTCTTGTTGGAGTTAACAATGTACCAGTACCAGTTTTAAACTTCAGTCCATCCTGCAGGGTGTCAAGAGAATTATTGTATTTTTAATCCATTATCTTGGCTCCATACCACATGGAGTTTTTTAGGAGTCTTATTAGAGAATGGAGCTTGGAGTGATTTTGCCAGAAAAAGAAGAGAAAATATAATTAGAAGTCTTAATCGGTTTCTGTCCAGGATGCTTCTGGTGTAAATTCCAGTGATATTTTGAAGGTTACTCCTCTGAATCTCTCTTGGCATGAGATTCATGAAACTGGTTCCCAATTTGTCTTTGCCCGCCTAGAGACGGAGCTGCAAACATACCAGATGTCAGGAGCTGCTGGTCTGATCTACTGTCAGGTGTACTTTGCAAACCCACCCTCTCATGAACTGCATGCCATTGTGCTCTGTGCTGTGGGATGGCTCTGATAGCACACCTGGCATGCAGCAGATGGCCACTTATCAGCTCGCACTTTCTGTAATTTAGATAAGGCGACCTGGGAGGGGTGGGGGACTTAAATAAGACCTTTTTTGTTCATTGTCTGGCAAAAACATGGCACATTATTGCTTTATTATTGCAAGATCCTGTACTTTGGTCAATACAGGTCAGTTCCTCAACCGCTGTCACATTTGAGGTTTTAACCCTCTTTCTGAAAGCCGTCGTATTTGTCCGACAGTTTTTCCTGCCTAGTAACTCAAACGAGAAGCAGCCGATAGCTGGTGTGAGCAAGGGGAGGACAGACTATGGGATGGGACTGAAGTGCCTGTTGTTCAATCCAATACTGTCATACATTGGCAAAAAATATTTTTGTCTGAAATCCTTTAAGAACTTTTTAAAGAATTCTACTCATTCCACCTCATCTCTGTGTATTTTCATAATTTGATTTGAGGGCTGAATACCGTCATTTCCATTAGGAATGACTGCTGATTCAGAATGCGAAACCGGCTGCTATAAATGGGTGCGTTCTTTCAGCTTCAGTGCTCAAAAGGCCAAGCCCTTCCCTTCTCACCTGGATAGTTGCAGTGATGAAGCGTCTGCTAACGATGCCTACATCTGCTTGTTTCTCCCCAGATTGCTGATTTTGGGCTCTCCAACGTGTACCGGCGCGACACTTACCTGCAGACGTTCTGTGGCAGTCCGCTCTACGCGTCTCCAGAGATCGTGAACGGGCGTCCGTACTGCGGGCCGGAGGTGGACAGCTGGTCTCTGGGCGTGCTGCTCTACACGCTGGTCTATGGCGCGATGCCCTTCGACGGCCAGGACTACAAGAACCTGGTGCGGCAGATCACCAGCGGGCAGTACCGTGAGCCGTCCAAGCCATCTGGTAAGAGCTCTGCTCAGAGCCAAATTTAATGAAAGAAGTCACGGATTAAAGGTCATCATGTAGACTGTGTGACTGCTGTGCTGATAGTGCTGGTGAGCCTCTCTGACTCTTGCTCTCTGCTCCCCAGACGCCTGCGGGCTGATCCGCTGGATGCTGATGGTGAACCCGGAGCGCAGGGCCACAGTGGAGGAGATTGCAGGGCACTGGTGGCTGAACTGGGGGTACCGCTGCCCCCTGGTGCCTGAGGGAGAGGCTGCGAGGGGCAAGCAGGGTGCAGAACCAGCCCCAGAGGGGGACTCATCTGCGGGGGGCCTGACGGGCCTCGCCGACTGGCTGCGCCGCACCTCCCGCCCGTTCTTCGAGAACGGCTCCAAGGTGCGCTGCCTGCTGCGGCCACACGCCGGCGCCGGGGGCCCCGTGACACGCCAGCGGTCGCTGCGGAGGTCGCGCAAGGAGAACGACGTCTCCCAGACCATGCAGGAGGGGGGCTCTGGCGCCAGCCGTCAGCCCAAGGGCATCCTCAAGAAGAGGGGCAGCCTGAAGCAGAAGCCTGCCAGCGAGCCCAGGAAGGAGGAGATCGGAAACGTGGTGCTGGACTCGGAAAAGCAAGTCCCGCCCCCCCCGGCTGTGCCCAGGAAAGGCATTCTGAAGAAGCCAGCGAAGAGGGAGTCTGGCTACTACTCTTCCTCCCCGGAGAGCAGCGACTCCGCCACCTCCTCCCACGCCCCGCTCCCCCACCAACGGTGCTCCTCTTCGCACCACAAAAGCATCCTCAAGCCCAATGGCAAGTTCTCCTCCAGCGCCACCGAGCCGTTCGGATCGCTGGACCCGCTGGCCTTCCGTGAGCGCGGAGCCCGGACTCGTCCCAGCGGGGCCGTCAGTGAGGACAGCATCCTCTCCTCTGAGTCCTTCGACCGCCTGGACCTGCCGGAGCGAGACGGGGCGGCGGTGGCGGCCCCTGTGGGGGAGCCTGCAGCCCTGATGAGGGGGTGTGTTTCTGCGGACGATCTCTTGGGCCTGGGAGACGGAGAGCTGGAGGGCCGGGGCAGGAGGCCTCTCCTGTGGGACATGAGGTGCTACCAGCACAGGGTCGGCGACAGCACCTTCTCCCTCACCGACTGCGAGAACGTCACCGAGGTCTACAAGCAAGCAGTGGGCATCTGCAGCCCAGCCAGATGAGGTCCTGCTTCTGGGACATGGGGAAGTTTTGTACTGGAGAGGAAAAGCCCGGATCTGCAGCTTCCTTAAAGGAGAGCTGGAGATGGCTTTGAGACTGGAACTGTCTGTCAGGCAGGCGCATTGACGGGACAGAGGGATGTTTGTCGGAGAGGGGCGAGCTGTTGAGCTAAGAGATTGCAGTCATTTCTGCTGGATACAGGAAGGGTTAGGATTTTGCCATGTATGAACTGACCCCAGAGTTCATGTTGCAGTGTACAAAGTTGAGTTCCTGGGTTTAACTGGATCAGAACAGTCCCTTGACCAGAGACTGCTTTGCAAACCCCCTGTATATGTAGAGTAAGAAGTTTTCTCAACTGTAAACACTTTCTGTAAACCACACCCCGAGCATCGATGAGGCAATAGAGGAAGCAGGCTTCTGTACTAACAAGCCGTCCTCGTTGATGTCTGTTTATTCTGTTTAGTGTTGTACAGGGAGGCTGGGGTCTCCCCGAACACTGGGCCTGGTGATAAAGGTCACCTGCTCGCACACAGGTGCCACACCAGTGCAGGACAGTGGGATACAGAAAGAGGATATGGATTCTCAAGGGAGGTCGAGATTACTAAGAAAGCAGAAAGGAAGGATTTAGAAAAAAAAATAAGGAAGACAAGTGTTGGAAAGCAAGGCAAGCATGAGAGGAGGTTTAACGAGGAAGGTCGGGTTGGTTAGGTTGATTGTTCCCCAGTACCAATGCAGGCTGCGGCTGTATTCACTGTTACGACGGGCATTGCGGCCCTATCATTCTGGCAGTGAGCACTGGCACCTCAGCCCAGCACCGTGTGGACATGAGCATGATGCCAGCCTGCAGTTACACAGCCTGTTTCTCTGGCACGGGGTGGAAGGGACAGGGTCATGGTGGTTCATGGTATGTTGCCAATAGATGGCCAGAGAAGGGATATTTGTACTTTGTACCACAATACGCTATTAAACAATGGGTTTGTGCATGGACTACTGATGATAGAATTAATAAAAACCTGTATCAGGTTGCTTGAGTTTTATGCATGTCTTGTATTCCTTGTCCGGATTGAAATGGTACGAATGAACACTTCAGTGCAAACTACTGTATTTGCAAAACTTACTGCTGAGTAAAATGCCTCATGAAACATTTCAAAGACTGGAAGAGAACAAAAATGTCATATTAAACTGGATTAAAGTACTACGTCCAAGTACTGAATCCTGGGACTGCTGGACAGCAGAGGGACAGGATCCCCTGTCCCTGCAGTGACCCTCGTGTGCCAGACTCTGTCCAAGTCAGCGCCCAGCAGCGCTGAGTCCAGTGCGGGCATCCTGTGTGGCAGCTGAGCGCAGCGCCCGACGGCCTCATGGCCAAGCCTGGACGGTGCTGCTATGAATCGGGAATTATGGATCTCGGAGAGAAGGACACACATGCACCATGTTAGCTGGGCTTGGGTTCAGCACGCAGGGTACCGACGCACTGTCACTGACCAGCAGCTGCAGGCAGGTCCTACTGCAGATACAAAAGGGGCAAGCTTTAGGGATGAGCAGTTTAAATCGATTGTTCTTCAAGCATAAATAAGAAGAAGAATCATGAATATGTTGCAGACAGGAACAGTTCTTCATCTTCAAGCTAGATATGCTGTCTTTCTTTTCTGTTTCATCCCCAGCTGCCCTGTTACTGTACCAATTGCTGTGAGCCATCAGGCCAGGGCTGACTGTAACACTGTTTGAGCAAATAAGCAGGTGTGTTAAGTGCCTAAATTATTTTGTGCTTTGTTTTTAAATCCCTTGTTTGAGTTTGATCCACAATGGGTCACTTAATAAATACAAGCAAATGAAAACTGTCCGAATCCTTCTTATTGTTCTTGATTGTTTACGTTGTCCTTTGTCCCTGCAAGCTAACGTTGGGAGAAGCAGCCATCTGCTGCTCAATTTTTAAGCAATGCAAACAAACGCATTGGTATTTCTATGCTGGTGAGGCCCTCCCATTGACTCTCATTCTATGCTTATTGTGCTCTGCCAATTTTTTATGGTGAAATTTTTAAGGCTGAAATTAGACCCTGACGTTTTGGCACTGTCAATGAACAAAACACCATGTTGTTTAGAAACAAAAGTAATTTCTTGAAGCCATGGGAGAGGTAGCTCACCTATAAAAGATAACCTCTGATTCTCAGGCTTTATTTTTTCATAGTTGGTCCTCATTAATACAGACACGTAGAAACTCCAAGCACCACGGAAGGCACGATCCCAAACCGATCTCAATCCGAGACTCAGGCAGACCTTAAGAGTCTCTCCCGTTTCTGAGGTGTGGAGACCAGGGCTGAGAGATCTCTGAGAGCAGAGAATTCGGGGCGGGAGGGGAAGAACTTCGGTGGCGTGCGGGTTGCAAAGGAACGAGTGGAGATAAATTCCACAGCGAAAAGTAAAACATAGTTTCATCTGCAGCAACATGCAGCACATGTTGTAATCATTGTAAACACAGGGACATTTCCTGCAAGCTGCTGGCCTTGAAACTGATGCAAGTAAATCATTTTTTCGATATGCCATTATTGGACCCTTTTCTCTGTCCAGGCATGGGCCGGTACATCTCCTCTATATTGTGGCACATTTGGTGTGTGGTACTGCCACAGACTTCCAGGACTGGGTCTGCAGATGGAACTGTAATTCAGGACGAGGAGGCAGGATGTGACAGAGTGGAAAGAAGTAGAATTTAATCACAGGTTGCTGGTGGCTTTGTGGTGACTGATAATCCCACTGTGAACTGCAGCTCCCCGAAGCGTTAATTATAATGGCACCATCAGAAATGCTGTCAGACCACGCATGATGAAGCCCGAGAGCTCAAAGAGGAAAGAGCTGGCACAGACATGACTCCGGAGGAGGGGGCTGGGCTGGCAGTCAGCCCACATTCACATTTCACTCTTCATGTGAGAAGCACGTTAGCAATTCTTGATGAAATCACTTGGCACTCGCCAGTGAAAGCTACCGGCCCCAGCGCTAAGCCATCTGCACCAGGAAATCTGCCCCGGACAATCGTCAGTGCATTAACTATTGCAGCAGCAGCTGTTTGTGCAGGATAGGAATGCTGCTGAGCTCTTAGATGTTTCATCAGCCAACTAAGGTCTAGCACCAGAGATCAAGAGATTCCTTCGATTTCTCCAGGAAAATAAAATCAAGTTTATCCTCACTGAGTTGAAACACTCTCACAGACTGCATTTCACTAGTGGAATACTTTGGCCTGATTTCCCCTCTCCAGGACTGTCCACTGTGGCCACATAATGAAGAGCTGCTGCTGCACATAGACGCCTGCCTCCAGTATTCTGTGGCAGAGTCTCTGAGCCCAACTCCCGATCTTACCCAGGATTGGACCTGCCTACATATATCAGGTGGATGTGTGATACGCATAGAAATGACTGAAAACAATAGGTTCTCTTGTGTTTTGCACTAGGTTTAAATAAAAAAATAAATTCAGACAAAGGTCCTTTTTCACCTTCCACAAATACATATTATTATAATACAATAACTCAATATAATCTCAAATATCCTGAAACAAATTATTTTTTAACCATTTAAACCTTTTATACATCTTAAAAGCTTTCTTGTCTTTACCTACCTTCTGACCCTTGGCTTGGACAAAGCATTACAACATATACAGTATGAATATTACAATGCACACCATTTGCAGTCTTGGATCTGTAACTGTATTTCATCCTACTAAAATATTCTCTTGCTGTCATATTAATTCATACATGATGGACCTTCAAAAATAGCAATAAAAAAAAGATTGATAAGTTTGATATACTAGCCTTACTGATTGCATGGATCTGGACTAAAAAATAACTGTGTCAAGGATTTGTTGACATCTCTAGTAACAACGTTAGTCAACAATACAGTAAGAGATAACAGCTGCCCTTTCTGAAGATGAGGAATAAAGCTACCTTATCAGCAGAAGCAGGTTATTGGCAACACTGCTATCAACGCAAGCACTGAGAGATCACGTAAATGAAGATTAGATTCTGTTCATGACTGCAGTAAATTATGGATTTGTTTTCTCCTATAAGACCCATTTTCAGTTAATTATTGCCAGGTTGGAAAAGTTCAGTTTCGTACAAATGTGGGAGAAATATGTACCATCGTCCCCTGGGTCACTTTAAGACAACTGCATGATGGGATGAAGTCATAGTGGGACAGAGATAATAGACATGCAAATTCAACAGAAACACCAGGAGTAGAGAAAGCACATATAACGTCAGAAGCCAAACTGTACAAATGTCATCTACTGTGCCATTTACTGTATAATGTAATGTTTCTATGATATGAAAATCTGTACTGCACCGGTTTTATCTTTCTTCCAAACTGCCAAATGACAGTCTAGAAAACATTAACAGAAACATTTTATTCTAATGTTACAGTTAAAGTTTAATTAAAAATATATTATATTTCTAAAAGTTATCCATGTGCTGTACTTATTTATACTCTGATGAGTGTTTGTGAGGAAGACAAGACCCAGTTTTCCAGACCACTGTAAATTCCAGTCAGCTTTGCTGTCCTGCAGCACTGCCCAGCAACCTCCTGGCAATAACTCCAGGTAGACTGCTTGGTCACACAGCCAGCCTTAATCCCTGCAAACCAAGAGCTGCTGACCAGAGGCTAACTCTGAATCTGAGGACAAAAAGATCAAACTGGATGTGGCTTTAATTTCAACATATTTTAAAGCTCTGAGTTAATGCTAGTCCAGTTTTATCCCACTTTAATTCTCTTCAGTATTGTCTATTAATATTGTCTCCTCTGTTAGCACTGTCTCCTCTGCTGTAGCCTTTGTTTCTGTGGGGGTAAGAACAAGTAATACTGAGTCATCTTTGTCAGGATTTCTGTCCTGAACTGACTGAAGATCAGCATTTTCAATGCTCTGTGTCGAAAATGCTAAAAGAAAAATGCTAGAGTGAGAGAGGACAACCAGTCCGCACTCCGATCTCCTCCTCTTCATCATGAGCCAACAGGCCCGCACTCCGGTCTCTTCCTCTTCATCACGAACCAATCAGCTTGTGTATTTCTTATGCCAAAAATACAGTACATGCAAGAAATCAACAATAACAGACAAGCAGAACAAAAGATCAAATCCTTGACTTGATCAGATTTGTTGAATATCAACCTTAAAACACAAAAGCAAATAGTGGAAAGATAAGGGTCCACCACAGAGAGAGCTCTACACATCCTCTTAATGCAGAAGCGCAGCGTTTTACAGGTAAAGATTCTTATGACCAGACTCAGTTATCTTAAAAAGTGACTCTGACCAGAGAAATCCTAAAGTTGCTCAGCAGACACATCTGACCCAGAATTCAATACATGTCCACAATATCCACTACACACAAAACTGCCTCATATCTTTCCCACTGTTGGTTTCTCTCTGCCTTATTTACAGAGCTTCGAGCAACACCCTCAAATACCATTTTATCTGTTCCTGATACTACAAGGTTTTTGCAGGTTTTCTAAAAAAACAACACGACAAAATCCCCCGAGACATGATGTGTTACAGGAAGAATGAAAATCAATTTTGATAAGGAAGGAAAGTTTTCAAAGCATCCAGTGTCCCTGAGAGCCAGCTTTGCCTTTTCATTCTTTTTTTTTTCTTGGCTTGGAAAAACGCCTGTAAGGAATCTTCAGGAATCTGCTTCGCTCGTTAGGGGATTTTGCAGTCAGGGAAATTATCTGGAGTGTTAAACTCAGGATTTGAAAAAAAGGATTAAAAAAAACGTTTCCTTTTCACGTCCACACTTCCAGCCCAGTCCCCTGGTCGCTGCCTGTGACATTTCCAGTGGAGAGCTGATCACTCTGGGCTCCTGCCAGGTGGCTTCCAGAGTACGTGACTCTGATGTCCAACCATCACTCCCCTCCTGCACATCCTGATACACTGACGTCTCTGGCCTTTTCTTTTAATCTACTGGGCCTACCTCTTCCTGGTAACAGCATAAACATTGATATGTTCACTATGATCTGCAGTTTCTCCGTGATCTGACCACATGTAAACCATGCATTTAAATTGCTTTCCCACACTGTCCTATGCCATGCACTGCTTTCCTGTGATTTGACTGCATGACTACACTCTCCTGTTTCACCTTGATTTGAAAGACAGAAGGATCAAATTGGATCTGGCTTGAATTTCATTATGTTTTAAAGCTCTGAGTTAGTGCTAGCCACCTTCCACCTTTTGTCACAGAAACCTTTTAAAAGGGCTGAGCTCTGGGACCTGGCATGGGGGCAGTACTGACTGTTGTAGGGGGAGGAAGGGGCGTGGGGGGCACAAAACAATTACAATGCTGACACTAATAATGAATTGTGAGGATCAACTGTGAAGAATAACAAACTAATAACAGGGCCATGACTCCCACAGCTCTGGCCCGAGCAGCGCCTGCCTGACTGCAGTCAGAGGAAATAGATGCTACTGTATTTGTCACCGCCTTTACAGTAAGAAACTGGACCGGGACTATAAACCGGTAAAGTGACAAATTCCTCTCCCAGGAACAGGACTCACACAGGCCTGCGAACTAGGTGGTGGTTGTTAGCAGGGAGACCACATCAACGTACATGGCGCCCGGGTGTGAAACTCACGACAGCACACGCTCACTCACAGTCACACGCTCACTCTCCTGCTGCTGGACGCTTCCTGTTCGCAGATTGGCAGCAGCACGCAGTCAGTCTGCGCGCTTGCTTCTTCACTCCACTGCTTCTCTGCTCAGTGGCTTATCTACCAAATCTCTTTCCGTAATGACAATGTGCTAGACAGCGCGAAAACGGAAAATACCAGTGCACTGGAGAAGAGAAAAGAACAGCGGATCAGGCACAG